CAGTTTGGATTTAACCACTGAACCACAATAAAATAAAATCCTTTTTATTATTACAATTTGTGTAATTATTGTTGAATTCGAATCAGTACTCAAGTCATTTTACATGAATACTTGAAAGGATCAAAGAAAAAAGACAATCGGAAAATAACTCGGAATAAGGAAGCTATTGAGCAGTTTGAAAAATGTAAAAATGATTTGGCAAATGTTGCTGTTCTGCCTCATCCAAATTCTAAATTACCACTTTTACAAATTCTGAATTACCACACGCAGTCGGACCAGTTGATTGACTCCACCAACTTTAAACATGCACCGAAATTTAGTAAATCTGGAAGAAGACTGAAGATTCCAGAGAAACTGAACTTGTAAACTATTTTTTAATTTAAAATCATTCTAGTTTTGATCATGCCTCATAATCAAAAGGTGGGAGGATTATAAAGAGCGATGAAAGATCATTTAATTGAAAACGACAATAAATTAAAAAGCGATGGGCGATCTAGTTACGCCACTGATGTTTTTTCTGTTTTGTTCTTTGGTATGATGTTCTTTTCTGTTAACAACTTTTAATTATTTTAAACGCAACAGTGCTAAGTTTTTTAACGTTGGTATTGGCAGTTTTTTTAAAAATAGAGTTGCGTTTTATTCAGTTCTACTTCGTGTTTTAACACCAGGGTCAGTTCTCTATGCCCGGCTAAGATGTCTTAAGTACTTTATTATGAAAATATGGATGTGTAGGAATGTCACATGTCTGTTCATCTTATTTTTTAAAGAGTTGCAAATGGCAACGAGTGAGAAAAACAGGTAAAAAATAATAATAAAAATGGTTGTTCTAAAAAATGTCTTCTGATTATTTGACTAGCCCTTGATTCCCACATTGGATCTGATTGAGACTGGATCATTCCATTTATTTCAAAGGTGGGGAAAGTAGAAATTGCTACGCATCACTTCGGCGCACGTGCTATACAGTAAATCCGATTGCAATATCTTCTTTGAAGACACATAAGCTCCTATTCTGTCTGTAAGCAGATTTTTAAAATTAAAATGACGGCGCCATTTACCAATTTCGGACTTAAATATATATTAACTTATACATTTCTGATAAGTTTTAAATTNATATATGGAAAACATCTCAGCTGTCCAGTTTGTGAGGAAACAAAAATTTAAAAACGCAGAACAGTTCTTTAATTTTACGAATAAAAAAATTATTTTTTAAAAACACCTTTTAATTAGCTATTAAATATCACAATTTCTATTTAGAGGGAAATAAAACCACACACACCGTGATGGCGAACATGGCTACACGGTCCCTTTAATTGATAAGTACCTTTATAAAATAATAATTTTATCTTATGAAAGAAATTATATTATAATTTTATTTTATGAAAGAAAAATATCAAAAGAGTTCAAATACATTTATTTAATGAGATTACCTCAAGAAAATGAAAATAACGCCACAAAAGTTTATAAATGGATAATTTTCACCAACAATCTGAAATGATAAAGTAAATATGAAGAATATTATAATTTTCCAATAGAAACAATAAGTTATTTGTTTGACACACATATTAAAGATGGCACTATCACATTAAATTATGAATTTGAAGCGTAAGTAAAATAAATATTTTGACTTGTAACTAAAATGCATAACATATACCTTTCTGATCTAAGTTTTAAAATTTGAAGTTTTCACTTAATTATTCTAATGCACCAAGTTTTGAAAAAAAAAGATCAGGGAAAAAAATCATAACCATTCATGGAATATATGAGTTTTAAAACATATTAAAATTATTTCACCAGGAGCAAAAAAGAGCCATAATTACTTTTATGCATTATCGGCCAACGATTTTCGCCAATTTAAAAAAATAATTTTGTCTGTCGTTCAAATTTAAATATTTTCTCATTTTTTGTATGAATAAGTTATATTTGTATTTTCTTTGTGATCAATTACTATGAAAAATAAATTTGAAAGATAGCGAAATAATGGCGAATAAGTATCTTTTTTTGGCAGAATTTCCGCAATAGCACTGATACTAAAATGGCTGGCTGTTTCCTATTGTCAACAGCTGAACCGTGTCATGTTAGAAACTAAAAAAATAATCGCAAAAATTGGTTAACTTAAAGACTACAAGGAGGAAACAGCTATTTTTTTTTTTTTAAATTAATTGCCAGTACAAAAACTGTGCAGTTTCGCTTGGTAATTGGCCAATTTCACTGACTTACTGAATTATACTGAAATTATATATTTCATATTATAAAAATTAAGCATATAGTAGAAAGGAATTGCTTTGAAAATATTGAATTCTGAGTTCATTTGTCCTTTTATCTATTTTTGTTGTTGTTTTCTTTTAGGAATTTTGAATTCCCTTTGAGGATATATTTTTTTATTGGAAGGAATAGCTTTCCATTCTTCAGAAGTGGGTAATTCTGAATTGTTAAACGCTTGCATTAGAGCACGAATATTTTTTAAACCATCTTCAATTTGTTGTAAATTTTCAAATGACTGAATGGATTGGGCATCACTAGATATATCCTTGCAATATTGTTCTATAGCTAATTTTTTCTCATTCATGTCTTTCCGAGGTTTTTTATTCATCTGCTTTAAAATAATGTTCTTTTCAGTATTCTTAGAAATTTCGTCATCAGTAACCAGCATATTCTCCTCGGATGTACTAGGGCAAATATCCTCTTCGACTTTTTTGCACACGTTTTTAAATTTTTGGCATACGAAGTGAATATGCTTGCAGATTACGTATCTTATACTAAAGTCTACACAGCTGCACGACATAGTGCGATTGCATATATTGCAATCTATGCATGCAGTAGTGCAACTACAGCTACTGCTCTCTTTTTCCACTTCATATGTAAAAATTTTTCCATCTTCCTCTTTTGATACAATATATTGTCCATCATTCATCTGCATAGCTGAATACATACTGGCATCCATTTTAGTGCTTTCCAAATGGCGTTTCATAATAAGTTTGACGCGGTTCGTCAGCTTACCGCGTTCAATAGCGATAACCCTATTGATAAGTTTTTTTGCCATTGCCTTCATTACTGTCTGTAAGAATTTGTCCAGTCTTTTCATAACAACACCGCCAGATTCCTCATATTTGATTTGGCGGTGCCACCGTTCTAACTTCATATTCGTATTTATTTTTAAACCCTTTCTAAAGCAATATGCCCATTTTTCTGCTCTGTACATGTAATACTCCTGAAAATAGCTGAGAAAAGCTTCTTCCTCTTCGTATTGTACAAAAAAGTTTTCAGCTAACTTTGAAAAAGTAATTTCATCCAATTCATGTATTATCAGCTTCATGTCTTTTTTCATGTTTTCTCGAACCACTTCATTTTTTACTTTGGAGTTGAGGTTTTTATTTAAACTTTTCATAACATGCCAGGAACATAGCAAATGTCGCGGTTCGTCTTTAAAAGATTTCACCCAGGCATTCAAAAATTTTGTTGTGTCATCGGTCATCATGACACGGGTTACAAAACTTGACAATCTTTGTTTAACAGCTTCAAAAAATGGTTCTAAACTGTCAGAAGCAATTCTCTTAGAGAAGAAAATCGGTCATCATGACAATTTTCTTCTTTAAGAGAATTGCTACTGGCAAACCCTCGTGGTTTTCCCCATGGACTAAAATTGTAGTTAGGTGAAACCCATACTGGTTAGTGCCATGGGTGTCATCTAACATGATGCACTCTTTTCCATAAAAATCCATTAACTCAATTTGAGATTCAGTGGCTATTCCTAGCAAAAATTCTTCTTCTTCAATTCCTGGATATTGATTTAGTTTTTCACCGATCGGCTTGTATATTAGAACAGGATTACTTTCTTCCTGCATCATTTTCTTCACAGTTATATCAACTGCCATAGCATCATTGTTATGCATAATATTGCTAACATTAAAACCTTGAACAACATTGTAAATATCCTGACGTGTAGTAAGTCCTAATCGCTTCGTTGGCGAGAACTGGGCTTGAATTTTGTCCATCACAACACTTATTGGTATCCCAACATCTAGCATATTAGCCAACGTTGCACGGTCTTCTTTTTGCAAGGGAAGTTTTCCTACTTCGCATTTATGACCTGCATGAGTTGATTGATATTGCACAGTTATTTGAGTAGCTTCGTGAACAGTTTCTTTAGTAGCGATCATTGCTGGACAAGTGATGCTAGTTTTTATAGATCCTGTATATTTCGAACGTCTTTTCCTTTCTATTTCACAAAGTTTGTAAATACCACTTCTGTGACATCTGTAATACCGAGTTTCTGAATTTTCCTTTAGTAATGAGTTTTTTAAGATAAAAGAAGAGACAGTTTGCTGCTCGATGTCACTTTTCCACTGGTCAAAATCAGATTGACAAAAAAATACCTTATCATGAAAAGTTAATTTAATTTCAGGATGTTCCGTTTTTATATGCTTATGGAGATCTATAATTGTTCGGATTTTTAAACTGCATAGACCACAAACTTGGTTGCAAGTTGCATTATTTATAGAGTGAACATTTCTTTCATGCCGGCGTAGATTACTGTTTTTGGAAAAAGTTTGAACACAACGTGCACAGGAAAATTTATTCACTTTTTGCGAGTTCATGTTGTCAATATTTTATCCTTATCCATGTGATCATTAACCAAGTTCTGTTCCGAGTCGTCAACATTATTTTCCAAAATCAATACTTTATCCGTATCCATAAATTCATTACCTAAGTTCTGTTCCGTGTAGTCAACATAGTTTTCCGAAGGTGGCACTAAAAAGGGCCTCTTTGTTTTGAAATCATTGGACATAGCACAATGTTAGCAATCAAAACAACGCGTTATGTATAAACTTGATAGCCAAGGATGAGAACATGAGAGTCAAGGTTGCCAGACTTTGAAATTAAAAAGTACTACAACTTTATCTGAAAAAATACCATAAAATACTACATATTTTTGAACGCTATCTGCTGCAGTAATTTGGAAGTATAAATAATATTAAAAGGATAAAATGCTATTAAATGGATAATAATACTATTAGAAAGATAAAATAAAAGGATATTTTACTAAGAATAAAATAATTTTAAAATAGAAAAACAATTGTATTTTCCCTTTTGTGCACTTTAACTTCAGGTGAACGCGTAGTAACAAAGATTTAAATCAACAATTTTGTCTAAAAAGAATTGTGTGTATCATAAATGTCTCTTGTGCATTGTAAATGATTTATAACAAATTTATAGAAAATCAAACATTAAAAAAAAATCCCATTTTCATAACATATTCTACATAGGAAGAAAAAGCGTAAAGTCTGTTTTGGTTGCACAAAAAGCAAGTTATATTAATAATCTACAAACAAGGAATAAATCAACTTTTATTTCTTACAATCATCACTAGATAAAGTGACTAGTACAAAACGAACGGTTAGAGGTACAGCTTGATTTCCACGGCGACTGCTATTTAAAACATCGCCAAGCTCGAATAATTTGCATTTAGTTTGTGGCTTCCATATCTAACAGTTTATCATGGTCACTGTATCCAGTAGTCTTATTTCAAAAATCGCTTTTTACTTCAAAAAACTAGAGTGGCACTTCTCTTTGATATAAAAATTAATTTAAAAAAAACATATGTACAACACTTTTAAAAAAAATACTATATAGAAATGTTATTTTATATTTTATTATTAAAATTATTTATCTTTAATTTTTAGTGAAACAATACTTACCATACGTATTATTGAAAATACTACTTATGGCAACCCTGGTGAGAGTAAATCCGGCGCATGCGCAGCAATTTCTACTTTCCCCACCTTTGAAATAAATGGAATGATCCAGTCTCAATCAGATCCAATGTGGTGGGAATCAAGGGCTAGTGATTATTTGTCCTGTATTATTCCTGCCGCGTACAACTGGTGACCCGGATAACTACTGATACTAATATAAAAAGTATTCACAAAAAACCTAGCATTTTCTAAAGTAAATGATGGAGGAGACCACATCATCTCTAACATCCGATGAAAAGGAAGAAGTCAGTAAAGTTGGCGTTAAAATTCTACCGTTCTGGCCCGAAAAACTCGAGATTTGGTTTTATCAAGTAGAAGCGCAATTTTCTATCAGTGGAATTTCAGTATAAGAAACTAAATTTAATTACCTGGTCTCGCAGTTGGCGCCTAAATATGTAGAAACAATATGGGACATTATTATTGCCAAAAGTACCACTAAATACAGCAACGCAAAAGAGAGACTACTGAATATTTTCAAGGAAAGTGACAACAAAAAGATCAAACGTCTCGTATCTGGAATCGAGATTGGCGATATGAAACCCAGCCAATTACTTCAAACGATGAAATCTCTAGCAACAGATTACATATCGGAAAAAGTATTGAAAACACTCTGGCTAGACAAGTTTCCTGATGCAATTAAAAAAAATTTAATTGTCAGTGAAGAAAGTCTTGAAAAACAAGCTGTAATGGCCGATAGAATCGCTGAAATAAATCCGAGAACGGAAATATACAGCATTAATCAAGCGTGTTCTACAGAAAATCTCATCACCAAAATTTCTTCCCTTAAAGAACAGATAGCAAATTTGACGGTATGAAAACCTCACGATATGTATCGAATTTACAATAGAATAAATTACAGAAGTAGAAGCCGTTCACGAAATCGATATAAACCAACAGGTTAATATTGTTTTTATCATGTTCGATTTGGTTCAAAATATTTACCTGGTAAATGCCGCCAACCATGTTATTATGATTCTGATGCGGAAAACAAGCAAAAGCAGTAGACTTGGCGACAGATTCTGCTGCTGAGGAAATAAATGATTGCCGTAAATTCCGATTGCATGTTCGAGATAGAAATACAGGAATAAACTTCCTTATCGACAGTGGAGCCGATGTCAGTTTATTACCATTACCCGCCAATAAAAGTTATCAAAGTGAAAGCGAATACAAACTGCCGTACTTCTGTCGCATACAGATGTTTAAATCTCACTAAAGAAGAGAAGGGTTCACGATATTTGTAGCTTGAGTAATGTTAAAGTCTAGAAAACTGCTTCGATAGCATCCGATGCACCTTATAAGGATTTTCAGCTGCTGAAAATACTTCTAGATTATTTAGCTATAAATACCAGCATTTTCGAGGATACATCTCAAAATATAGCAAAGCATGTCTGAAGATGTTTTAGAATTAGCTGTATTTGACAGTAAAGTGCCTATTTTTATGGAACGACTTATGGTGAAGGCTATGAAAGAAGTAAAAAATCAAAATAACCCTCCTACCATTATACTTAAATATTTCAGAGAAAAAACGCTTGAATATTTTGAGACTGAAAGAACAACTCTTTTTTAAATAATTGAAACTTCCGTGTGAAATCCTTGATGTTGATCCCAATTGTATGTAAAGACGGAGATTTCCATAAAGCTTACAAAATTGTAAAATCTATGGCAAATATAAAAAAAAAAATTTGGACGTGGTATTGAAAGATTTCTGATTCAAGAGGTCAGTGGATTATAAGCGAAATACGAGTCTCAATTTAAAACTCCTGATGCAAGTGGTTGATCCATACAATGCAATCCAGACCGTAAGCATACATCGATGTCCCAACAAGTCCGTCAATGGAAGAACATAGTTTGCTTTTCAATAAATAATATTTTACGTACTCTTTAATAGACTTAAACCATATACAACTTTTTTCACTTTTTGTAAGAACAGTATTACGTAACATGATATTAAAATTGCTTTGTTTTGATTTTTGAATGCTATTATTAATCACTTGCATTACACAAGTTAAAATTTGAGGTGCTTGATCTACCTCTAAATTTTAATATTTTTAACTGAAATTTGACGAACATGATGGTAAGACTGAAATATTTTTATCGCATAAATTCAAAATTAAAATTATCGCTTGCCTTTTTTATTATTATTATTAATTTTTTTTATTATGATGACATTTAAAATATCGTTTGGCTAGTTGATGTAATTGTGAAAGACCGGGAGAGAGAGTCGCCGGAGTTTTGAGTGCTGAATGAATGTGAGAGGTGTATTAACTTCACAGCTACAACTGTTTTTAGCTCATTTAGTAATATTCAAAATACAGAACTTTATAGGCTTTTCTATTTTACATTTAAAATATACTTTTCTATAATATAAAATATAAAAATCTTCGCAATATTTATAATAAAATGGTTCGGTGTCGTAAAGGAACAACGATCTGCACTCAAAAATTGATTATTTCTCCTAGTACTAACTAGTGGTAAATCAGTTTGGAATATCGCAAAATTTGTTAATTCATCCTGCAACAATTTCACCTGAAATTATTCGAAAAGTTCTCAAAGCAGCTGTATTAAAATAGAATTTCTGCCCGTATAAAAGTTTTTGTTAGAACAAAAAACAGGAAGCTTAGGCTTTCCCAGGGCTGGCTCACTCATTTGGAGAAACTCTTGCCGCACCAAACCTCCGATTTTCGCTGGTGACGTCACGGTGGCGAAAACCTTGAACTTTCACTTCAAGAATGGATCTTTCAGTCCTAACTAGCTCCAACTAATATTGGAGCATTCCTTTTTGTGACATATTCCAAGACATTCGTTGTCTCGCAGAATCGTTGGTACTAGGATTGAAATGGAATCGCCAATCAGATACATTGAGAGCTAATATGAGCTGGCTGAAAGAAGTTGATTTAGGAAAAATCACAAAAAGAGTAATTTTATCTGTAGCACATAGAGTTTTTGACCCGATTGGCTATATTTCGCCATTAATGCTTTATCCAAAAATTTTGCTACAAAAAGCATGGAAACTAGATATCACTTGGGATGAAGAAATTAAAGACGACCTTCGAAGAGAATTTTTACAGTGGTTCAATCAACTAACTGAAATCGGAGAAATCTCTGTTCCTAGGTGAACTGGAGTGACAGCAGAAAACTTACCAAATTGCTCCATTCACACCTTTTGCGATTCAAGCCAAGATGCATACGCAGCTGCTGTCTTTTTGCCTATCAAAGAAAAGTCGTACTTCTAGCTAAAGTCGTACTTCTAGCTTCGTACTAAAGTCGTACTTCTAGCTGCCAAATCTCGAATTACTCCTATTAAAAGTGCAACCATTCCCAGGTTAGAATTATTGGCTGCATTGATAAAAGCTCCCTTAGCAAACTCGGTAATAGGAGCGTTAGAGTGGCGAGAAGTACCAAGCTATTATTGGAGTGATTCTACGACAGTCATTACCTGGATATCCAGATCAGAAAACTGGGCAGTATTTGTGCGGAATCGTGTAGAGGAAATTAGAAAATTAAGTAATCCTTCATCTTGGCATCATATACCAGGTGAGCAAAATCCGGCTGATATCTTAACTAGAGAAGTGTAAAAGTGTGAACATGAACATTAATTATATTCTTATTGCATATTTATTATTCCATGTTTTGGCAACAGCAGTTCTTGTGTACGATATAGATTTTGAGTTTTTAGAATAACGGTGTGCGTAAATTTTAATAAAAGTAAACAGTAAATGAACTGCGTTAGTTTTGATTTTCTTTTAAAAGTTGTTTCTTACATTATCAGAAGTGGGATAAACAGGCAACTGTAATTAATTTTGAGTTTAAAATGGCATTTTTATTGCGACTTCGCAAAGATCAGTTGCGTTACGTAGCTAATGAGTTATCTGAAGATGTTTCGTCTACTACTTTGAAAATCCCTGACTTGAGAAAGTTAATATTAAATAGCGAAAAATACGATGAAGTTCGAGGAATGGTCGAAAATTTGGTTGAAGAAGCCGATCGCGAACATGCATTAGAAGAAAAAAAAAGATTGTCCATATGATAATGAGAGAACCAAAAGAACAGTCAGAAAATTATGACTATGTTAAATCTCTTTTGCTTAAGTGTTACAGACTAAGTCCTGAAAAATTTTGACAACTTTTTTATTCTCATGAGAATACTGATGGAAAGTCATGGAAAGAATATTGCCACGAGCTTGAAACGTATTTTAATGGGTGGACTGCAGGACTTACAATAAGTAGTTTTGAGAGTTTAAAATACCTGATCATCACAGATCGAATGAAAGCTCGGATGCTACCAGATATACGAGAACGTTACTTGGATCAGTGGACCCATATAATTTCACCTTATACATTAGCTGAAAAGGTAGATGAATTTATTGAACACAAAGATTTTTTTAAGAATCATATTCAGTATAATAATAAATCTAGTAACAATAAGTTTTTGAAAGAAGAAAATATCTCCAAAGGCAAACAGAGCCAAGTCGAAGTACAACTAATAATCAAACTGTTTGCTACAATTGTTATGATACCGGCCATTTTGCCCGTGATTGTGTAAAGCCCAAACGTCCAAAGTTTTGTACTGCCTGCAAAACAGAAGGACATGGTACAAAGGAATGTCCAAAGAGAGCGTCTTTCTCATTAGTCAATGCAGTTTCGTTTTTACCCAGTTCCAGTAATAGTACAACGAAGAATATTATCATAGAAGTAAATACTAGTGCTCTTATGGATAACGCTGCTGATATATCTATGTTAAAATATAGTTTTGCACAAACGTTTAATAAAAATAAACATAAAAATATAGTTACACGAATTCGAGGTATTGGAGGTGTAAGGAAGTCACTAGAAATTATCATACTTAATGTGACTATAGACAGGGTAAAGCTGAAGGAAGTTCTGTTTTATGTAGTGACTGATGATACATTTGAAGGCCCTGATCTCATTGGAAACGACATCATTGACTCTCCCGAGATAATAATGGTTAGAAATCAAGGCAGGTCCAAGTTAGTTCATGTGGAAGAGCTGGATTTTTTGCATGATTTCCAGATTAATGAAATACCTGATAGGGTTGTGTTGAAGACCCTCGAAAAGTTTGTGATTGAACCACGTACAGTTCAATTGGTAACTGTCTTCAGTGCATGTAAATCTCAAAACGGATTTATTTCCTGCAGTGGTCGAGATGATCTAAGCAAGGATGTTGCGTTTGCTATCCACGATGGCAAATCCCAAGTGCCAGTCGTGAATCCTAGTTGCGTAAAATTACAATTAAAGAAAAATCGTGTTATCTTGAGAGGAAATTGGGTATCTGAAAATAGTTACAATTCAATGGTTAAAGAAGATGCGGTTTAGCCAGCCGTTTTATTAGCAAAAGAAATTGTGCGAAATCCTATCGATAGAGAATGTGTTAAAATTGGACCATCAATATATAAAGAATAACAGCAAATTTTATGCGATTTGTTAAATGAATTTAGGTTGTGCTTTGGTTTAAAACAAGATGAATTAGGATGCATTAATAATACTATAATTCGTATCGTTGAGACACCGGGTAGTAAACCTGTTTCTCGTTCACCCTATCGAGCTTCGAACTACGAGAGACAAGTTTTAAGAGAACAGGGTGTTATTCGTGACAGTTCTTCTGAATACAGTAGCCCCTTTTTTGCTTGTATCTAAGAAAACTGGTGATCATCGTATGGTAATTGATTACAAGCATTTAAATTCACAAACTATTAAGGATAAATTTCTATTACCCTGCATCGATGATTTGCTTGAAAGACTGTCTGGTTTTAGTTTATTCTGCATCCTTGATGCATGTCAAGGATTTAATCAGATAGCAATAGATGAAGAATCCTCACGAAAGGCAGCGTTTACAACTCCTGATGGACATTATGAGCCTACACGTTTGTTTTTTGGCTTATCGAATGGACCACCTGTTTTTCAGCGAGCGATGTCATTAGCTTTGGGTGATTTCCTTTGGAAAGGTGTATCATGTTTTATTGACGATATATTCTTCGGTTCGATCGGCTTTGATGATATGATAGTGAAGCTTCGACAAGTGCTTAAAAAGTTGCTAAAAGCTGGGGTAACACTGAAGCTATCTAAATGTGAATTCGGAATGTCAGACATTGAGTATTTGGGATTTGTAATTAATAAAAATGGAGTACGACCAGGTCCAAGAAAACTTGCCGCCATTGCTGAATACCCCGTTCCTAAGACCAAAGATGAATTGCGTCGTTTTCTTGGCTTAACAAGTTTCTTTCGCCGATTTATAACACGATATGCTTCAATTGCTGAACCCTTCACAAGGATACTAAAGAAAAATTCATCGTTTACATGGACTGATGATCAAAATGATGCTTTTGAAAACTTACGTTCTAAATTAGTATCGAGACCAGTGTTGAAACTATTTGATTCACGCGCTGAAACTGAATTACACACTGGTGCAAGCTCTGTTGGATTAGCTGGAATGCTCTTGCAACGAAATAAGTCTATTCCGTAAGTCGCCGTACAACTCCTGAAAAAAAATATCATTCAAGTCGTTTGGAACTGATAGCTGCGGTATGGTCAATGACTAGACTTCGTCCTTTGTTGTTGGGTTTGCAATTTACATTAGTCACCGATTTTTCAGCAATAACATACTTGAATACGCAAAAGAACATTTAACCCCAGGTAGCGAGGTGGACTGGACTGTTGAGCGAATTTAATTATAATGTTAAACATCGAGATGGTACTAAAATGGTTCATGTAGATGCCCTTAGTCGTTCACCAGTCGCAGAAAGAATTTGCACACCATTGCATGAATAGACATTGCGAGTCTTGTAGTACTAACAAGAGAGCCTACAGTATTTTCATTCCTACTAAGTGGTGGGAAGGACCAGAATGCTTAAGGGAAATTGACGATATATTTGAAGAACCAGTTCAACGTTATGACGAGGAAGAAATTTCAAAAGAAGGATCAAAATCTGTTAGTTTGACAGCGATCGAAGACACTATAAATCGAAAATGGTACTACGAATATTTGAAGTCATATTTGGCGGGTTGGCAAGGGCATGAAGTTGGGACATGTTGTGTTGGTGGTTTGCGTTTGTTTTTAGTGAGAATTTGTGGAACAGTTTTTTACTTCCTTTTAGTTGAACTTTCTTATGTTTTTCTCACTAGGTGAGATTTGTTTTGTTAAATTAAACATTCAAAATTTAATTATTTTGCTCCGCAATATTTTTGCCTTCTGTTTTGGTAACTACAACATGTCTAACTACAACAGCGTATCTCTCAGAAAAGTTGGACGGTGTGTTTAAAACATATTTTTATTGAGAAAGTCTGTAAGTCGTAATAAGCTGTAGAATGGCTAGTTTTCTGCATGGGAAAAATCTTATTTTAGTCTATTCAAAAGAATTTTTTTTTTTTACATGGCAGTTTAAAGAATTGGATATTAAACCTGATAATCGCATTCGAAGTTCTGAATTTCAATTAGCAAAGGGAGATAATTCGTTTCTTGAGATGAAAGTTACTGGAGACTTAATACTTTACTTGAATTTAAGGAATCCGTCAATTGGTATCAAAATTGGATTGTTCACTATCATTGTAACAGAAGAGACCTCTACAATTTACAGCAAAACAGCAGCGAAGAATTATTTTAAAGATGAAAAAAAACGAAATAGATTTACTTAAAGGCTTCAGGGGCGGATTACCACCATCTGCTAAATATCCATTAGTCGTCACCTGTAGTTCTATCGACTGGAATTATGCTGATGAGTGGGTCAAATATTCAGAGAATTTATCACATTTGAATAATTTGCGAGAGCTTTTCTTGCATTTTAAAAAAGTTCTGAACTTAAACCATTTACTCAGACATTGTTCTTAATGTGGATGGAGACAAAATCAAAGCTCATAAATTGATATTGAAAGCTCGTTCCCCTGTCTTCCACAAGATGTTCACTCATGAAGCTGCGGAGAATCTGATTGTTTCTGATCCAATGTCTGAGATAGCAATGAAAAGGCTCCTAAATTTTCTCTACTCTGGTACAACGGATGGAGATGGCTTTGAAAAATTTTTAGAACTGCACTATGCTGCTGACAAATACAAAGTGATTTCTTTACGAAATAGTTGCAAAACAAAATTGTTGGACTTTCTTCAAGCGAATAATGTGTGCCTTTTATTTTCCTTAGCAAACCGACGCAAAGACGAAGCTTTCAAAAATGAAGTGGTGCAACTCATAAGTGCTAATTTAAACCGAGACGGCTAGCGCCAGATCGTCTTAAAAGTGCCAAGCATGAATTTCAATGCATGATAGAATTAGGTCATATGAGACCATCCAAAAGCCAATATGCTTCACCTTTGCTCAATGGTACCCAAACAAGGCACTATTCAATGGTGACCTATCGGGGATTATCGTGCTCTTAATGCACAAACAATAAAAGAGAAATATCTAATCCCTCACATAACTGATTTCACAGCTGAATTACATGGTAAACGGTTGTATAGCCATATTGATCTTGTCAAAGCGTTTCATCAAATTCCATTTAATCCTGCAGATGGGCATAGAACTGTTATCTGCACACCATGCTATTAAAGCTGATATTAATGCATCGTGAGCTGAATTGGTGTACGGCACTACTCTTCGCTTGCCATCTGACATTTTTAATTGTGCAAATGATTTGTCATCACCAACAGAAAATTATGTTGCACAACTTAAACACACGATGAATAGTTTAAGTCCTATTTCACCTCAGTATCATGCCAAACAATGTTTCATCAGTCCTTACAAACTTGTTCGCATGTTTACTTAAGAATTGATGCTGTCAAACCACCTTTAACACCACCATACACCGGACCTCATCTGGTGATAGAAAGGTCTAATGAAACATTTGTAATTGAATTTAACCGAAAAAAGACAACGGTTTCTATAGATAGGCTTAAACCTGCATTCCAAATATAATTCAACAAAATTCCACACCATTAAGGATTACTCAGTTGTCAAAAACACAAGAGCAACAACCTACTCTCACCAGATCTGGTCGGCATGTACGGTTTCCCAAACATTTAACTGATGAATGTGTCATTTAAAAATCTATCCTATTGTACATATATACATTTCTGCAGGAATCTTTATGAAAACATTTATGCATTTATCCGTTTATATTTCATTTGTATATATTTATACATCTATTTCCATTTATCAAAATGTCATAAAACATGTTATATATAGCATATTAATTGCAGAAATGCAAATTTCTTGTACCGTGACTAAGTCACTGGGGGGATACTCTGTAGTGATTTCCTTCTGGAAAATCTATTTTTAGAACAAACCCCCAAATTGTGCCTCTTCAGCCTACCCTGAGAGGGCGGGATTAAGGATTTTTTTTATTCATTTCCAGAGAGTATACTGTCCGCGAACAGTCGCACAAACTTGTTAAGTTTCAATAAATTTATGTTAAGTTTTAGAATCGTCATCATCCTTGCTCTTTTCATACCTTGGAGTCCTCATAATATATTTAGTGATTAGTTGAAAATCTCTCGTATGCCCTTAAATAGGGCGGGTCGAGATAGAAATAAACATTTTTTTTCCAGAACCTGTATTTTACAGCAGGAAATTTAACAAGCCAACACCAGACAGTAGCGATAAGCCAACACCAGACAGTCAACACTACACCAGTGAACCGTCAAAGAAACAGAAACAGCATGATTTTCCAGATGGGTTTCTTAATCGCTTTTATCTCTGTAAGTACTTTCACCCTTTCGCGACGAGAAGAGCGAAAGAGTGCTTACCGCTGAGGCCGACTGTCTCTCTCGCGTGTGTCTCTGCAGAGGGCCGGAGGGTTTTAGAATTTCCTTCCAATAATGTTATACCCTAGACCGGGGATATCCTGGTTGGTAGGGCACTGGGCCCATGTCCAAGAGTTCGATCTCCGCCGGCCGAAGACTCCTCGTGTAGACTGATGCACTTTAAATCTGTCGAATCACAAAGTCCTCCATGTTCCCATAATAAATCATACTTCTGGGGGTACTGATCCAGGAGTTTCCTTGTCTTCTGGATTGGTTCAAAATTACAAGACTACACTACGGAGTTGAACATTAGTTGTCGTAAACCCCAAAATAGGGTCGGCTGTTCAACTTCGGTTATAAAATAAAATATTAAAAAAATTATTATACCATTATGTTTTTTAATTTAATTATTTTAATTAGCTTCTTGGTTTTGAAAATTATTTCTTATTTTATTTGAGGATTGGTTAGCATCTCATTTTTTTAAAAATGCTTTATTTTACATGCATTGAGTTTTTGGGTTGATAAAAATGTGTTTAGTTAGTTAAAATTATTGCATATCTTTTAAATGCTTTGTTTTATGAATGTAAAGTTTTTTATTTCGATTTTAAACAGTATGAAATGTAATAGGGGCCCAAAACATTTCTGTGTCCAGGGGACCTGCTTGCTATTAAGATGCCCTGATACCATCAACCTTCACCAGTGGGCCATACCATCTACTTTTCGTGGGGTGTCCCGTCACTTGGTACAAGAATTTTAAAAAATTTAATATTCAGGGACATTTTCCCCGCTTTTTTATTACCAAGTAATAGATTATAAGTTTCACTTTTTTAAAAATAATTAATACTAATTTTAGGACATACTTTTTTAGACCAAAATAGTCATTGCCTAGCAACCGGCCTAGCCAGTGTGCCTAGCAGCTACTTAGTCTCCACAAAGCGGCATCTTCAAAGCGTCATTGAAAATATTTATGAAGAAGTCATGAAAAAAATAAAATGCTTTATACATTTAATAGATGCCTCGAAGGAAGAAACCTCGAAGGAAGATGCCTAGAAGGAAACGATTCAACAAAACTACCAGCTCTCAGGATTAAAAAAAGGCAGGACATGTGTCCAAGGAAAAAAAAACGTTGTAACGTAAAAATTCTTAGTGGTCAACAAAATTTGCTAAAAATCTAAATTCAGAGAACAAATTTGTTGTTTTTCAATCTTCTGCAAAACTATTTAAATTTTAAAATGTATAATCAGTAAATGTTAGCATAAGTAATTTATAAAATTGTTTGAAAAATTACCTTCGAAAAAAATTCGTTTGATTGTTTGTAAAATTACCTTCTTTTCATATATATGCAATTCTAAGATTATTATTTGTTTCGCTTTTTAGTTAAATGTAACATTTAATAAATCTTTATTGTAATAAAAGTTAGAAGTTTGGAATCAATTCTTTATTTACTAATGTAAAAATTTTCTTTATACATTGTTTGCGCGGGGACTGGCCTGTCCATCTTAGGATTTTCCAACCTGAAGGTGTATTGTTATGAATAGATCTTTGAAGCGGGGACTCTTGAATTTTAACAAATGTCCATCGCCAAACATTTGGCGAATGAAACATATCCTTAGCAACCCCTAAAGATTATACCACCACGTGTTGTCAATATAGTATTTTTAGCAATCAAGATGGAGATACTTTTTCATAATTCAAAATTTGGAAAAAAATCCTGGAACATGAAAAGTACTTCTATTATTTTCATGGGGAATTGAACAACAAGACAGCTTGGTCTTGTATCAGAAAAGAAAACGGGTGTAGAGCATTAAACAGCACTTTTTCTGTTAATTACTTGAAGTTTCATTAACTATCGCTTCGTTTAACAACTCCTATACATCTATCTCAATCATTTTAGTTTTGTTTCTTCCTAAAAATCGATTAAAAAATATATTTTGTTTTTTAAATTCTAGTTACTCTTTTAAGGACATTTTGTTAAGATTTAATTTTATTTGTTAAAAATTTATAATTATAACTTTCTATCATATAGCTGTTAAAATTTGAAAATTTTTAAATTTCTTTTGAACCGTTTATATTTTTAAGAGTTTCGATAAAAATATTAACTTCTAACAGTATCAAATCAGTGTTTTATTAAAATGTTTCAGTTTTTGCAGCTTTTGACATGAAGTCAAGTGTTAGTACAAGAGTCTAAAATGAAAATTTCGAGAAAAAGAAATAGAAAAAAAAGAATGGTTTAATAGGAATTATTCAACGTAAAAGAAGTTTAAGAAAGTCAATTTTAGTAGTAAAGTCAAAGTAATTCCCTCTACAGAGGATCAAAATTTAAAGCTTTCAGAAGTTTTGGAAACCTATAGTAAGTAATGAAAAATAACAAGTTTTTTAACACTCTATGCCAGAAAATCAAGCAATAAACTTGGAACTTGTAGCAATTACTTGAGTTGTTGTTTTAATAACTGCATAACATTTCGTAAACCTAGCGTAAATAGTACTGGAGATATGATGGGTTTTTTTAATTGAAAAATAGCTAATTTTTTGTTTTATGGCTTTTTGCTATAACTTTAAAAATATTCAATGAAATTAAAGACACTTTTTGTTGCAACTTAAAATTAATTACAAAAGTATTGATTTAAAATTTTTAAAAAAAATTGCAAAAAAACTGCGCAAGATATGAGTAGTTCAAGTAGCTCTTTTATGCTGCGCATGCGCTAAAAAAGAATTTAAAAAAACTTTATCTGATTTTAAAAATTCAAAAAATTTCAAGCAATTCAGACCTCGTAGTCCATCAACAAAAAAAAGATCGCGTCATATTTTTTTTGAAACAGTATACATACACCATACTATTTTTAAAAATGGCAAACGTTCAACTTTATATATATATGTATAGAGAGAGAGATAATTGTCTCTAAAAATAAAAAATATATAATATTTTTCATTTCTAAACTATTTTATTCAGATCGTAAAGTCGTAAAACTTTCTAGCGCAATTTATATAATTGAGTGCTGAACAATTCCTAATAGTTTAATATCAATATATAATATATATTAAGATATTTGAAAGTTGTATTAAGATCATAAATAGCATAAGTTAGTTAATAATTTTTCTATATATATATATATATATAAATAATTTTAAAGTTTAAGAAAGTATTTTTTATAAATAAATTAGAGCGTAATACTATGCTTCACCCTGTCTCAATTTAAAGAATAACTTGTAATGGTAAACATTTTACGACATTTAGACTTATTAATTAATTCACCATAGCTAATTAGATTGAAGTTTGTTTAAACGTTTAATTCAATCTTGTCGATCCGCATTTGCAAATCTTGTCAAAGAGTGCGTAAATTTTTACTTATTTGTTTTGCACAAAAAAAGTACTTTTTTCATCCACAAAAAAAAAACCGTTACCATAAAAACGGAAAAATTAACAAATAAATGATTAAAATACCAAATATTTTAGTTTTATTAACCAAAATCATGTTTTTA